TTAAAGTTTATTAACAGTAAATTTAAGTAAATTTGTAACACTTCATTGTTGAAAGTGGACAAGCGTACACTCTTATTGTAAACGTGAAAAGACATTTGGTTTACCTGTATTAGATCTTTTAAAACATAATTTCAAAGCTTTCTTGCAAGTTAGTAAACAAGAATTTTACAAAAAGGTTAGTTTTACTGCATGGTGTTAAGAACCATTGACAACTCCAAAATCTTTCACTTTTATTAATAAATTTTACAGAAATTTATTATACTTCTAAATATGAATGAAAGTCTAGAAAATAAATGATTTTTAGAGACTAATGTCAAATATAAATGTTAAATTATTGAATGAAATATGTTGTTATAAAGTTATGAATACATTATTTTATAATATTTTTTGTGTAGATTTTCGCTTCAGAGATTCTAAGATAATTAGAATGAAAGAAAAAAAAGATAGAAACGGAAAATCATCTGCGAGGGGTGGATTTCATTCCCTTCGGATTCTTTTTTTTTTGTGTGAATCCTTTGCACATCCTCGCATCGTAATCGAATTATGCTACATTAAGTAGGATGCGTATATATGTGAGTGTATATTTAAAGGGTCTGAAATTTATGTGTGGGTGCATCTCTCGTGTATACGTGCATGCGTTTATATATTCGGGTTTGCATGGGAGCATTCAAGTTTAAACGGGAGATATTTTTGTTCCGAGTTCACTGTTGTGGTGGGATTAATTTGCACCTCCAAGGTGTTCACGGAGATTTGAGCAATTTCAATAGTCGCATCCCTATTGTAATGAATAGGGGCTCAAGTCACAACGACCTCTCAATACACGTGGAACGGAGCAGATCTCACCCATCCACCGTAATTGATATGTCTCAATAGGTGTACATGTTCGGGTGCCTAGTGTTTTCTCCCCAAAAGAAGAAAACATATTCATAATAGTTCCTAATTTAACGAGAAACAAAACGATGTTTAGGGAATGAAGCGAATATTCATACATTACTGTGATTTTATCCATTTGGCTGTGATTAAAAATTATATTAGTTCTGGGTACGTTTAAACATTTTCTTTTTATTTGTATTTATGTATGATATTTCAGAAAAATATATCAATACTTTCATAGTCGGCTTAAAACATTGATTTATTGGATTATGGTAATCCCAATAGAATGCATAAGACTTTCCAAAGTTAATACAATTTTTAATAAGAAAATATTATAATTTAAAAAAACTAAAATTTGTAAATTACATTTCTTTGGCAAACAAATTTAAAGTTTATTTTGTTTTTGAATCCTAATTCAATATTAATCATCGTTATAAGATTATCTTGCATTCATGGACTCCTGTTTCTATATACATCTCAATAATAAAATCGGTTTTATAGTAATTCTGTAATAGTTCGATAATAAAGTTACTTTACGATAGCTTTTAACTTCGCTTTAATCCTCGATTATTTTTGGGTAATATTTTAAAAGTTTCGAACATCCCATTTTGTTACAATAAAAAAAATCTACTGTAAGCCTAAATCAATAAGTCCTCGAGCATGGTAAAAACGTTGCTCTAAGTAATAATGCATTAACAAAGTGCATTTATTATTTAATATTGAAATAAAATGAAACTGATATAAAACAGTTTAAGTTCGTATGTTTCTGTAATTAAAATAAATTACACAATTTTTAATGTATTTTTTATCCAAAATATATATAGATTTCTATAGTGTTTATATTAATATTAATCTACGTGGAAATAGAATAATAATTCATATTGTAATATAATAATTCTGCGAGAGAAAAAGATTGAAACATTTGGATTGGGCGGAACTACGGGAGAGTGCTTTCCATTAGTTTTCTTTGATCTGGTATTTTCAGTAAGCTAATCCCTAATCCCAGGCTTCTCTAATCCGGATGCTTTCGTTTCCGAAGCGAACTTTCAGCATCGATTTCTAATATCGTCTTATGTTCTCTTGCCATCTGATAGAATATTTGAAAAGCTGTGACGTGATCGTTTTGTTGTGATCGGTTTGCAGGTGTGTATGTGCGAGTGTGTGTGTGGATCTGTGTGCGAGTACGTGTTCGGGGGTGGTTGGTGGTGGTGCACGGCTCGTCACATACGATCGACGCTCCTGGCAGACCTGATCCCGAAATTGGATTGGATGAGAACCGCACTTTCCACTCACTGGGGGATAAGCCGGCTGAGTGCGAATAAAGCCTCATCCAAAGTCAATAGTTAAATGATTTTAAATTCAAATCCAAGGCGGGCCTTGTTTCTCTAATCGATCATTCGCAGCTAATTTCTGGCTTTATCGCGGAGGGGACTCTTCTCCTGCTCTTCCGCGTTTCCACGGCGGCTTAGGCGGACGGTGGAGGGCGGAAGGGCGGCGATGGTGCCACCCCCCGCTCATACCATTATCCCTAATTTTTATTGCCATTTTTATCATTACCGAGATTGCAACGGTGGCGCCGTCGAGTTAATCGGATCACAAGAGCGGGCCTCTAAGAACGTGATCCGAGCGGAGCGGCGGATTTACAGTGTACGCCTGTCTTCATCTCGGGATGGAAATTGAATAAGCCAAACCAGGGAATGGACGTGACAGTATATTTTTTATCTCTAATTTAGCAGCTCCCTGATAAGTGGCTGCTTCTGCTCCCCGGCAAATAGGCCGACCTCTCTCCCCATTTTATCCCATTCCCTTTACTTTCCATTCCTTTCCGCCGCCTCCGAGCTCGAAGAATATGCATTTGTGCTAAAGGCGGTGAGCGGCTCAGATTACGCCTTATATCAGTATTTATTATTCATAACCGAGGCGGAAACTTGAAATACTACCATAACGTATGATAAAGGAGTTTTAAATGGTGGCTATGTGGGGGAATGCCGCCTCCGCCGAGCCACACCGCGACTTCTTGATTTGTGAGGTTCTGCTCGTTTGCGGCTCCAAGATCATCCTTTAAATACGACCGCACCGCAGCCACCACTGTCGCCGCCACCGCCGTTACCTTAACCTCAGCCGTAGCGCAATTGTATACTTGCCTTTCTAAATACATTTTTCGGTGTATTTTCCCAGTCCGCGTTTCTATAGCAACTTAATAAAGTATCTTTGGGGCTTTATATTGAGCTCACAAAGCGAAGAACAGAGCACAAAACAGGAGACCTTAAGCTTAGCAGCGCTGATACACCCTTTCTACATTACCCGAAGACATGCCAATTGTTTGTATGGTATATAAGTATCATTTGTGCATAAAATTAGAATTAGCGTATAATGCTTTATACAAGTCATTGTCTTATTGCAGCGCCGTTGTTTTGATGAACGCTCTCTAAGATTGTCTTATGCCCCGGAATAGGGATAATGAACGCAATCCGATTTTCCCAATTAAAAATGCCTTAACTTATAGGCGGGAACCTTTCTGTCTCGGTCTCCGTCTCCTCTGTCTTCCTCCCTCCAGGTAAGGATGATTCCGCGGCAAGGCAAGGCAAGGAACCGGGGACGGAGTGGAAAGGATTCATCCTTTCATTCGACGCAGTTCAATCGCGATACGACGGCCCGTGGCCCACTCATTCACCCCTTTACAACCCCTTTAACAGCCCCGCTCTATCTCGCTCCCTATTTACCAACCTTCATCCCACTTCATCTTTCTCTCCCCGACTCCTTCTTTCGTCCGCCGCGCTGAATATGTGCCAAATATGTGTTATCTCAAGACCCAGACAGATAATCATTGGCTGTTCGCCGGTTTCCGGTGCGCTTCGAAACTTGTTCACTGACGGCCGCATTGTCGTACACCCTTGCATTGTGATCTAACGTAGACACATCTACAAGTGGAATAAACAATTGTAGCAGAACTTCTATTTTAAGCGACCGCGGGTCTTTTCATGGAAAAAGGGATGACGAAAAGGAAGAGGACAAATAATGATTTTTTTTTTAAATATACCATAATAATTGCGACAAAAATCCCCGCTTGCAGGGAGTTATTTATTGTTGTAGTAATATTTACATACATACTTATAATTAGTATGGCAGAACAAAAACTAAATGCGTTTTACATGTATGTATACAGGTAATATAGACAATGGATACAGACTACAATACAACAGTCCTATCTTAACATGAAGGAATTTTAACAGAAACAAAACATTTGCAATTGCAAAGAAAATATTAACAAAATATCACTAAAATTCATATTACTGTCATATCAGAAGAGCTCGCGCTTTTAATCTTTGGTAAATTCGGTTCATTTAAATATATAATATACACATACATATTTTATATATATACATTACATATATATACAATGGAAGCTTGCTTAACGAGCAAAATTAATTGTAAGAAAAATGACTCGCTTAACGAGCGACGTTTCGCATAGTGAGTAACGATGAGAAGAGAAGTCTCAAATTGCGCGCCTGTTACATCATTTTTAAAACTTGTGTACACATATTATGTGTATTTTTTTAATATGTTTCACTATACGAGTAAAAATCCGGAAATTTTAGAACGGATTAAACTCGTTAAGCGAGGTTCCACTGTATATATATATATATAATACCTAAGTACGGATCAAAAGTGGTAGAAGCACTGTTACTCTCCTCCACTCACTCTCTCTCTATCTCGCAATCACTCTCACATACTATCTCACTGGCACTCATCATTTACTTTTAATAGCTACAACAAAACAAAATAAAAAACAATATTATACACTGACTATTCCTTCTCCCCGTGATGGAAATGCCCTGAAGTCTGGCTGTCGAACAGAGACATCTTGAGTCGTTTACATTTGGCGCGTCTGTTCTTGAACCAGAACTGAACATTCTTCGGCTCTAAGCGCGGAAACTTCTGGCGATACGCCATGCAATTCAACTCCTCCGTGTACTTAAGGATAAGGTTGTGCGAAGGATGCGTGTTCATCGAGAACCACTGCTCGAGACGCGGCACTTCCGTCACCGGATCTATGAAGGTGCGATTCCTCTTGCGACGCTCATCGGCGGAGAGGGCGGACATTGCCAGGGCACTCGAACCGGGCGGAGATGTGGCGGTGTGCGACAGGCCGGGGATGTACTGGCTCATGTACATAATGCTGTGGCTGAACATTGAATTTGGGACTATTGGGAAGCTGGCGGCCAGTCTTTCCAAGCTCTCGCCGCCAGGACGATGGAACAGCATCTGGTTGTCCGCGTCCGGTGATCCGCAGATACGCTGCTGCGAGATTGGTCTGATCATTGGGGAGACTATTTCAAAATTATTTTTATTGTCTGCCTCGTTGTCCATGTCTTCATCCTCGACGTCGGATATCTGAACCTTGTTATTGTTCGAGTGGTCGCTGGATGAGTGGTAGTTGATCGGTTCCTCCTTGGGCTCAATAATTGATTCAACCTGCAAAATCGAAGCAAACGAAGCACATGTGTCTGTTAGTATCGATTCACATTCGGATGATTGGCTACTACTTACGTGAGCTTCATTCAAAGGAGTTGAAGTACGCGGACTGTCCTCCCTTGTTTCGTCTTTCCGGTTGGTGGTCAGCGAGAGCGGACCCACTGGACTAGCGGGTTGCGTATCCTGCATATCGTCCTCTTCCATGTCGGAACCTGCGTTTGAGAAGTCATCCGACATGTTTGGACCTCGACCGCGATAGTTATTTTTTAATCGGTGCTCAAGTCGTTCGGAATTTAGGTATCCATCGGCCAAGAGGAATCCGGCGCCGTTCGTCGGACTGTGATTATTGTAACCATTCCCGGAAGATAGGTGGCACGGCATGCCGGGCCCCACGTTTCGAACTTCCGCTCGTTTCTGGGCAGCACGAGCGTTCTTGAACCAGTAGACGACGTTGTTTACGTCTAAAGGTTTCCGACCACGTCGTGATTCCAAGCTATTCAATTCCTTTACGTATTGCTGGATCTGCTGCCTACTCGGATGCTGGTTGTCGGCAAACCATCGCTGCAATTTCGGTAGTTCCAATTCTGGATCAAAGCTCGTCCTCATCCGGGTTTTCTGCGTAGGGAATTGGTTGTGCACCGTCTGCATGGCCGGATGATGACCGGGATCGACGAGATGAGGTCGTTCATGAGCCTTGCTCGGCTGATGCTGGTGTTGGTGCTGATGCACGGCGGCATTCGAGAATTGACTTGGGGGTGGCCCCAGGTGGACGCGACCCGGTGATTGTGGATTGCATTGTGCCGCCCACCACTGATCAAATTTTCTCTTACATTCTTCGCTCATCTCCGGCGGGATGTTGCTGGCACCGCCCCTACACATCTGTGAGAGCATAATCTGAAAGGAAGAATTCGGAAACTCTTGAATATTAAAGCCCGGATAGCCGCCTTCTAATATTTTAACAATTTGAGAAGAGCACCCGACACAATGTTGAAGCAGATCTTTGCCCGCTCGCTGCCTGTGTTGGATGTAGAAGGCTTTTGATCTCATTAATACCATGAAATAATGCTGCGTAATCTTATTAAAAGCGAGGTTACGCTATTCTCTGCACCCTTAATACATTCATTCCCGTCTAATTCTTAAGACAGCCCCCCCACCCGCTTTATGTTTGCATTACCGTCCTTCGCGAATTCTCTAAAGCTCTAAATTACCTCATCTAGTGGACATCCTGCAGATACGAGCAACCCGTGCGATTGCACCAAAAGGTACCGCAGCAGCTTGTCTTTCGCGTCCATGAACGATCCAGGTCGACCACGGAACACTTGTATCTTAAGGGTGGCGACGGTTGTAAGCTCGCCCAGGATATCACCGACGCTGACCAGAGGATCTTCGGTGATCTGATCGAAGTTGAGAGCTTTCCAGTTCTTTATAACCACAGACCCTTTAGCTGCAGCCGCACTTTCGGCGGAGTACCCTAATCGCAGTAGGGCCGTCTGGACAAGGTCATGGAAGGGCGTCGAGACTGGTATAATTACAAAACTGTCAGTTTCGATAAGCGACCTCCTGCGCCAGGACGATTGGTGGATGGCCCTGCTCTCGTCCAAGGTGCACACCGCCTCCACGATGCAATGCACGGGTAAGGATTTACCTGCAAACATAGAGAATAAAGCGCGTGCATAACAAACAAATAGAAAATCCGATTTATCATTAATATACATACAAAAAATAACCATAAATTCTTCAAGCTAATCCGAGCCGAGCAGATTTAGAGATTATTTACTCTCGGATACGACTTCTGTTTTTATCTGCTCAAAGGCAAACACCATTTAGACACATCAAGTACAAAGTAACGATTTTCATAGTGATAATCTCAACAGATTATAATTATTTTTTGAAACTTCATCTAGCGAATTTACGTTTTATTACACGAATCTGATTCCACATCAACTCATCTTATACATATATTAAATTAACAATTCATTATGCTTTCCAAAAAGGAACTATGTCATAATATATTAGATAGCATATTTTTTAATAATGTATAACGTAACAACTGGTAAATTATAAAAAAATAAATATAGTAAATCGAATTACTTATATAATAAAACTACTAGTATATGCATTGATTAGAATTTATTATTACTGTTTAAATCCTTAAAATTCATAAATTAATAAAATTGTTGACATCAATCTACAATTTAATTGAAATTATATTAAATAATTATTTCTTTAATTTGCATCGAAAATATTGAAAGAATATTTAATTAAATTAAGTTTCAAATAAAATGTTGGTTGAAAATGAAGCAAACATCGGTAGAAATTATTTGGGTAATTGAATTCGAAGTGCAGCATTGATCTTTAAGTATTAAGGGGTGGTTTGAATTTAATAAGATATATTGAATGTAGGCGTCGGGATTTTCTTTATAGTTGTAAATTTAGCGATGACTTTAAATGATCCGGTGACATCGGGGGTGAACTGAGATGTACGAAGTAGATGGGAAGATAAATGCGCGAGAAGAGAGAGTGAGTGAGCGAGAGGGATCGAGGGAGGGACAGGAGGAGTGAGAGAAGGTCCGGAGGCGGTTCGGCTACGTGGGGCAGATCATCGGGGGCAGATACTTCAGGGGGCGCGCCGCATCTGCGGTTTGCGAATTTAATGGAAACGTGTAAAGCGGAAAAGTATCCCGGCGATAAGAAAGACAGACAGATCAATTGATAGCGCGTGTACAGATGACAGTTAATGTTGCTCTCCAGCAAATATTTCTTCATTTCCGTTTAAAGTTTAAGGATAACGACGATAGCGAAGAGCAGACGAGAGAATTACATCTGCGGTGCAGTTCGCTCGATAACAAGGATTCAAATCGGGGGCGGCAAAAAAAAAATGAAAAATAATGAAAATAATCAAATGGGTGCAAAGTGAATGCGAAATGACGATGCTCAGGAAATAAGTGGAAGTTAAAGAAAATTAATGGCAGGCATAAGTAGTGGAGCGATGATGGCCGAGAGACGCGGAGGCCACGGCCGCTAATCCTGTTAGGTTAAGAAGGTTTCCTTGCATATTACGCAGCTCCGAGTGTTGGAACGCAGACCTCCCGACGTCTTCAGGATTAATTCCAGTCGACTCGAGCTTACCTCCCCGATTTCGGCACAAAGGACTGCGTATGACGTCATGCGAGTTTTCAGCAAAGCCGGAGCTTAGCCTGCTGCTCCTGGTCTTAATTTCCAAGGCTGCGATGTATTTTTGTTTTATTAGAAATGCTTCTCCTCTTAGATCTTGGACGATGCAGATGTGACGGCTGCGGCGAGGTGGAGGAGGCGGTGGTAGGAACGGCAGCGGCGGTGGCGGCGAGGACGGTAAGTCCTAAATCTTGGGATCCCGACGTCGGATCCGTCCCGGACCTAATCCTGCCGGCTTACCGCGCTGTGTATAGTCCACTATTCGCTAATCCCACCGGCTGTAATCCAGCCGGGGCTGACCAGCGTCTTAACTGGGACTCATATTGCCTTCCGGCCCTTTGTTCCACTCCCTGCTGATCAATAATTCAACCTTATAAATAATACGACTGTAATAACAGGATCCACACCGTCGCCTTTAAATCTCGCCCGGAGATTTACGGCCAGCCCAACATCATCTAATAGTTTTACCAGAGGATGTGAGATTTAATGAAAGGCAAGCAAAATGCGCGTCGCGGCGCATCTTTTCAGGGCCGTCGGTTACGCTACTTAGCGCAGGCAGCATCAGCATCATCATCATCAGAAGATTGGAAAGCAGGTTACTACGCTTCGGCTTCGACCATCACCGCCGTCAACGCCGCCACAATCAGGATTACGTCAACAAGTATTTAACGTACAGACCGTTGAAGGTAAATCGGCTCCAACCATTGTTCAGATGAGCGCGTTTTTGCGCGAATCTCTTTTCAAGTGTTTCTAAAGTATGCAGATTCACAGTCGACCACTCATTAGGGATTATTAAAAAAATCTTGCCTTCCCATAATGCCGGAATCCTCTCCTTTTCCGCTAATCCAGCTTCCGCATCTACATCCCCCGGTTTCGCTGCTATCCTCTCATCGCAACCCCCCATTATTTCGACATATGAATTTGTACGCATTTTTGCGGCGCGCACTGCAAAGCGTCTTACACAACAGCTTATTTCTATCCATTTTCTTATTAGCTTAAGTCTTGTTAGTCTAAAGTTTTAATTCGGGCAACTTATAGCAAAGAGTCTGCGAGGAGAACTGGGGGGTGAAGGAGATGTTAGAGCGAGGCTACGGCAAAGCGCGCGCGGTAGGGTTGAAAAGTTGAGTTTAGAGAGTGCTAAGGGTCTCCGAACCCGCAATACTGTTTACAATAAGCCCTGTGCTCTGTTCTGCTCGCGCGCTAATACGATTTCATGCTGGATTTGCGATAAGGATTTAAAGGAGGTAGCAGAATACCGACGCACCTTGATTCGCCACCCCTAATCACCACCCTATCCTGATCTTTTTTTTTTTACCTCTGCGAGTCCTTTCAACATCCACGAACTTCCCAAGAACGATTCCGGCTCCTAATCCCTTCTGCAACCATTCAGCCCTTCCGCATCGATATTTGTTTTACACCGCATTGAAGTCTCTCCACATAACATTCCTCAACAGGTTTGAACCAACAGTAATTTCAACAAAAAAAAATCACTATTATATTATATATGTATATTAATTTATGAACATATTAATAATAATCTATAATATTAATAAAAATTGTATCAATCCTTATACAAAATGTTACATATTTTTTTACTATTTGCTCAATAGTTTTGTAAATTTATAATAAACAATAGATATTTTCTTTAAAATGCATTTATAAAAAAAATGTCTTAAAACGTTAAAACTTTTCATGTAAAAAAAATCAATTATTCGAAACATTGACACTTTATGAAAAAGTCGCTCAGGTGGCTTACGAGGTTTAAAAGCTCTGTCCGACCTCCGCAAATATTACGAAATGGATTTGTTCCATCAAATAATGTTGCAGATTATACCGCCGTTTTCATTTAATTCAAGTCCTCAAAACCTTTCGCATTTGAATAACCCGCAAAATGTTTATGGTTTGAGAGGCTTAAAATGTATTTACTTTTTTCGGGTCCATTAAGGTTTAACATCGAATGGTACATTTAGTGGTTCAATTTTTATTCCAACTGTATATGGGACACCGTAGGTACAACGTAGTCCCATAGACAGTAGAACTATATTAAATAGCAAATTAAAAGTTTGTTAAATACAAATAAAGTTATTTTTTTAATGAAATGTATTTATGTGTTCAACTTGGCAAGGATCAGAAATTGGATTAAGGATTAAACAGGAACTACGTTTTTTTCGTTCTCTCTTCCTCTCGCTTTTCATCCGCTATCCTGATTATAACATTTCTAATGATTCATTGCGTATGTGTTTCACGTAATGCATATATTCGTTGGATAATATAAGTATTAATCTATTCAGTACGAACAATATGATTAGTCTCATTCATTTAAGACTTATTTTTATATTAATACGAATACAGATATTTTTTACAAAAATTTAATTAATTAATTTTTTTTTGAACGTAACTATTTATAAACAGATATTAAAGTAATTGCAATTATGCAATGAATCAACAAAATAACTTAATAAGAATGATTATGTATTCTAGTCCGAGGCAGTTCAGTAATGCAATAAACATATCGGTAATTATGATCGCGTTATTCATTTGCAAAGATCGTTCAATAATTACGCAATTATGTAACAACGTCAGTTGTTGCAAAAAAACTTAAGTTGTTTGAAGTTGACAAACGATTAAATACAATCTGACAAATAGAGTGCAACAGTTTTCAAGTTAATATAAATTTAACTTGGAGTTAATGAGTTTACACAAAACCGGTTTAACGGCAAGTTAAATTCCTTTTCATTTGGATTTTTATTGACTATAAGCATTCGCTTAACAATAGAGTAGAACTTTTATGTATGTATTTTTTGTACATTCAAAATAAAGTAACTCAATTTTTTGTTGCTGTAATTAGCTGCGAAATATTTATCGTGGGCCCAAAAAATTATGTGGCCCCACATAAAAAAAAGCTCGTGGGCCCCAATTCAGGGTCCACGCCTAGATCTAATAGAGAAGATGGGGCGAAGTACACATTGTTTTAGATGCAAAAATTATATAATTTACATCTATATAAAATTTTCATTATCATTTATATTGTAATTAAATATTAATTATAACTAATGAATTAATTTTATTTTCGCATCAATAAAATTAATTAACAATAAAAAAAACAAACTTCGGATTATATCATAATAAAATTGAAAAATATTTATTTATTATTTACAAAAAAAAAATGTCTTTTGTTTTGTTTTACATTAATTGTTGCATATTTCTAAATGATAAACGTAAACAACAACTATTTCCAATCGCAAACGGAAATGTTAAACATTATTTCTATACACTTTGGGTGATACGTTTTGTATTAACAGTAGCATGTTGAAACAGTAACAACATTTCAGTGAAAACTTGCAGAATCTAATCTTAACGAATAATTCTTGAAATGATAACAACGTAAAATTTGAAGTGTGTCCAGAAATAAGAGTTTATTGCTTTTCAAATCTTAGTTCTTAATTTAATAACTTTCAACTTAATTTTCAA